AAAGGAAAAATACTATATTTTATTCACACAGGATAGTTATTTTATTAAATTGTCCTTTTTTTCATAAAGGTTCTTAATTTATTAATCCTCCTGAAAAACCTGCAGTCACCACAGATAAAGGCCCTGTAGAATCTTCGCTCCTTCTGTTGTCATGTCTTGCAAGTCTATATTTGGGCTCATTTTTCTTTGCTTTGTCTAAGGAATCATAAGTGGTGCCAAAGCCAGTTGTGTCACCACCACCAAAATGGGTTCTGAATCAAAACACAAAGAGGACATCTGCTGGTCTTGTACATTTTGGCCAGTTTTTCCCAAATTTCTGTCTTGGGTACTGTTGCCTTCCCAGGGTGAGGACACCAATGACCATTTGTTTTCGCAGAAGTAGTCGTTGGCCATGAGTTTCCTGGTCTGGGTAGTTACTGTGTTGTTCGTGGTGGAGGTTGTTCTTCAAGCAGCCAGGGAGGAAAATCCTTTCTCTCTGTCTTGATATTTTCTTTTAAATTGAACTCTTCTCTCTGTGGGCACCGGAACTTAGATTCCATTGCACCAGTTAGTTTTTCTAGCTGTTGGGTTCTACGTGAGCTAGAGCAAGTGGGTTGGATCCAATGGAATTGCTTTTGCATCCTCTCTCCAGCATGTACCAGTTTCTTGTCCTGATTTTCAGTGGCAGCTCCATGCTGGTTCTTCATCCTTGGACGGTGAGGGGATCAAAGTCAGTCCACAGGGTTGTGGGTGAAGGGAGTGCCTGTAAGTCCTGATCACAGTGGAGGTGCAATCTGTGGTACTGTTACTCATTAAAAAAAGGGGTGCTATTTATGCAGCCAGCTTTTTAGATAGCCAACCTGCCACATTCTAGATGTATAATTTATAAAAGTACCAATGACTTGGTCCTGCCCCAGAAAACCTCATAGTTGAGTACATCCTTTGGGCATGTATTCTCTTGACCCAGATTTTATTGGTGTGAATGGAATTGGTTCTCAGAGATTTAATTTTTAATGAGTATAAAGGTGCTCACCCAGTGTGCTGTAATTAATTTTGTAATTCACATTCATTGGCCAGTTCTTTCACATATAATTTGTGAAGTATAATATGGGATGGTATACTAATACCAGTATTCTTGGCCTCAGATATAATTGTGGGACAGTAGGGGCTTTAGCAGCTGATTTCTTTGAATTTTTCCCTTATCTCTAAAAATAAAACCTTTACCTGTTGTCGGGTTACATTTTCCCCAACTGTACAGATTTAAAAAAAAAAAAAATCACAGTGGCATTTGTGATTAATTTGCTAGTTAATGGTTTTTAAGTAACTTTTCTTACTGGAGACGTAATACTTGATTGTTATCAAAACTTTAGAAATTGTTTTTCTTCCACCGACTAAGGGCATACTTCTTATGTTAAGCTACCCATCTCCGGTGATGTAAATGTGGTTTCTAGAAGGTTCTGTGGTGACTTTTGGCTGAATTGGCAGATGCTGACAGTATGCTATGTGTGCTGATTCTCACATCAGATAAATTACACCCGTGAATTTTGATTAAATGAGATGCCCTTTGTAAATAAATCCCTAGTAATTGATAGACCTTGTTGGATCTTACTGGTTCATCATTGCTTTTTGAATGAGTGTTTCTTTGGAGATACCTTTAGCAATCTTCCTTCCGTGGTCACTGTCCTTCCATGCTTAGGTCCTGAGTAAGTTTCGTGTCTGCAAGCTGGTTTTGCAGTTGTCTGTCTAATGCTCTGAAGGGGGTAATTTCAGAATCTGGCACAGCATTTTCTATGGTCCCTTTTATTCCTTAACCACAAGCAAAGCTGAAAATCATAACCTACACTTTCTGACTTAGTACATCATACATACTTTCTAATTGACTCTAGGGGAATATATTCATGGAAGCTGGGCATTCAGTAGCTAGGCCAACGACTGACAGGGTATTTAGTCCTCTGCTCACGGCAGGAAGCATGGTTGCATTACATGGTCATTGACATTTCAGAGAATTAAGACCAATCAATTTTATACAAAATAAACTCAATGGCTAAGAAACAAAGAAGTTCATTAAGAAACTTATCACAGGATGGTTTTGTTGTTGATAGTTAATATTGAATATAATTTGTCAGATTTTTTTCCTCACATTTATTCCAAAGATAGGTCTTTTATTTTTTTTGCTTGTGTGTACCCCATCCAAGCCACCATTCAGCAATAAGCCTGTTGAATAACTTTTTCTTACATACTATTATGACTGCTCCTGCCAAGTCCTATATCTGAGGGCTGTGTTGTCTAGCTGGCTAACATCAGAATTTAGCTTTCTTTAGATACCTATTGAGTGAGATCTCTATTTACAAGTTAACAGTTTTCATGTTTTTCAGAAACTTATCACAGGATGTTGTTAGTACATTTGATGGTGAAAAGGCTTCCTTGGCAAGAATTACACTGTTACACGTAGGTGGTCAGTATGAAAGAGCCAAGTTTTAGCATTTGTTTTCATTAGGAAATACAGTGATTATACCAAGGATTCCCAAAATAAAAATTGTTGGTGAGGTTATTGAAGAGGTATTTTTAGAAATACTAAAGGATTATAATCTCTAATATAATTTGCTTTTTGGAATATAAATAATACTCAAGCAGACTTGGGGTTTTTTTGGTTTTTGTTTTTCACTATAACATTTCCTCAAATAGTCATGCTCATAAATTGGGTGGAGGAAGTAGAGAGAGCTTTTACTGATTCATTCCTTCAATATTTGGGCATCTCCATGGAAGAAGGTAAAGGGGAAGAGATAAAAAGTGATTAAGATTTGCATACCTGTACAGATGAAGCTACACTTTTAATGTGTAGCTTCATCATAAACCACACTGCCTAGAGATGACTATTAATATAACTGAAGCAGTGGGCTGAATTTTTATGTTTATCAGAATGAAAGCTGTAGTTAAACATGTTCTAAACAACATTATTTGTATTACTACTTTTTCCATTGATCATTGTTCAAGCAACTGTAAGATAATCTTTTTGTGGGCATGAACAATGGAGTTCAATATTAATAATGACCTTTGAACAAAAAATGTAGCATAAGCGCATTCTTTGGTGACTGTTGCCTTGATAGCTTCATACATCTTACTCTGCATTTATTTAATTCAGATATAGTTCTTTTTAAAGTAGTTTTTGTTTTCATTGATTGTAGAGAGATGAAGGGAGAGAGTCAGAGAGACATGGATGTGAGAGAGAAATATCACATTGACTGGTTGCCTCCCATATGCATCCTGAATGGGGATCGAACCAGCAACCTGAGTATGTGCCCCACTGGGAACCAAACCCACCACCTTTTGGTGCACTAGGCGATGCTTCAAACAACTGAGCCACACTGGCCAGGGCTTCATATATAGTACTTTTTATAGCACTGTTTTAAGCATTCATCTGCAAATATTCATTCATCTACTCTGAACTCATTTAATGGTTGATCATTTATTCTAGTTGTCAGAGAATATATTAGGTCTAGTAATAATTAGTGTCGTTTTCTAATACTTTTTTTAAATCGAATTTAAACAATACAACAAAATTTAATCAACAATATAGTTGCCGTTGTTTTCTACTACTTGTGCCCAACGCTCAGGAAGCATTTTAATCCCTCTCTTGTAAAATTCTTGTGATTTTGATGCAAAAAATTCGGTCAATGCATTTTTGAGGCATTCTTCATTATTAAATTTTTTTCCAAGAAGAAAGTTTTGCAAAGAACGAAACAAATGGTAATCGGAAGGGGCAATATCAGGAGAATATGCAGGTTGAGGGAGAACTTCCCATTCCAACTGGCGCAGTTTTTCAGCAGTGATTCTTGCAGTATTCGGTCGTGTGTTATCGTGGTGAAGAATTACGCCCTTCCGATTAATCAGCGCGGGTTCTTTTTCTCTTAAAGCTTGGGCTAACCTTTCCAATTGGGCACTATACACTGCACTTGTAAAGGTTTGGTTAGATGGTAAAAGTTCATAATGAAGAATTCCTTTAAAATTCCACCAAACACACAACATCACTTTTTTCGCATGCAAGTCAGGTTTTGGCGTGGGACGAGAGAGGAGCGAACTGCAAATTGTGACTCTTTGATTACGGTTGTTGTCGGTCAACTCATGAGGAACCCATTTTCCAAACTTTTGGACTTTGCCAAGTGCACGCAATTGATTGGAAATTGTTTTTTGTGAACAATTTAAAGTTGTCGCAAGCTCTTGTTGGGTAATTTGAGGATTTTGCACCAAAAGAGCTTGAAGAGCTTCTTGATCAAAATTGGACACATGGCCTCGACCACTCTTGTCATCTAACGAAAAATTTCCCTCGTGAAATTTTTCAAACCAACGCTGGCATTTTCTGGCGCTAACTGCATCTTGACCAAGAGCACTACAGATGTTTTTTGCAGCCTCACTTGCTTTTCTTCCTAATTGGAACTCGTAAAGCATGCAGTGCCGAATATGCTCTTCATCCGCCATCTTCTTAGCCCTAGTTTTGCAACAAAAACCAAACCAAACACAAACATTTTCAAGCAAAACTTGTTAATTGCACGTCACACGTTCTGTAGATACCACGTGATGTCAATACAAGTCAACGCCAAGCAAGATTTTAAACAAATGTTTAAAAACGACATTAATTATTACTAGACCCAATAGAAGGAAATAATTTGAATATATCCTGTCTTTCTCCTCCCTCCCTCCCTCTTTCTTTCCTACCTCCATCCCATGTACCTACCTACCATATGGACCTGGAACTACCTTATGGGGCTGGCAACAACTCCCTGTCGCATGGTAGTTTTGCTCAGACATGGGAAAGATTCCGTTTTGAGATAGTAAGGAGCTTGTACTGAACTGCTTTGTGTTATGATTGTAAAACGTACATTTCCATGAAATAAAGCATTGGATTAATAAATAAAACCTATCCTACCCCCATTTTAATCAGTCAGCATATTTTCTATTTACATGATAAAGGAGTTGTTTGAAATCATTGTAAATCTGCCCTGTGTGTGCCCCTCCCCTTCCAGCATGCTTGAAGATGACCTGCAACTCAGTGACAGTGAGGACAGTGAGAGCGAGCAAGTAAGTTGTGTGTGTCCCGTAACTCCCCCGAGTCCTTTTAAATCTGTCTTAACTTTTCTGACCTGCTTATCCTAACCTGTTTTTTTTTTTTTTTTTCTTTTCCTCGTCCTCCTCCCCCTTGTGAATGCCTAGACCCCAGAGAAGCCTCCTTCCACATCTGCACCGCCAAGGTACCGTGTGCGGGTTTCTCCATCTATGCCAACGAGGGGGGGGGGGGGGGGAATTATAGCCTTAGCACTTCCGTAACTTCTTCATGGGCAGGAGATGAGTATCACAGTTAAAAGAAAGTACCTGTTCACTTTTTGGAAGTTTCACTCAGCCTTAGAGAGGTTAACTTTATAAAGGGAAAGAGCCCTATCAGTGTAGGAGAAAAAAATGTTGAGAGTTTAAAATAAGCTTGAAGCACTTTCCTCAGTATTATGTAACCAGTATTTGAAAAGTTATGCCAAAGAGCCCAGTGTTTCTGTGAAAATAACAGATTTGCTGTATTTTCAAAAATTATAAAGCCAAATTTTTCATGGTGGCTGTTTTCTTAGTCATGAGTTTTCTAATTGTTTCTGTGGCTTTTTAAAATGGCCTGCAGTGCATTTCAGTGAGGTGGAAAATGGCACTGTTTTCATTTTGGAAACAGCTTGGCTATATTTTAGAAAACACGCTTTAATTTTTGGAAATGGGAACTAAACCACCTCTGGTATTAAATTTAGTAATTCAATATGCCAATACCTGATCTCCACGGACAGGGAAGAGTTAAATTACACTGTAGCTGCTACACTCCCTTGAGATGTGGTCATCCATTCAGAGACAGGCTCAGCAATGGAAACCTTCCTCACATAGTGACGTGATGGTTAACGTGGAGGAAGCTCGTAAAGTTTTGCAAGGTCTTACAGAGTCATAAGCTCTGCTCATTTATTTATACTTCATTTTGTTCAGTAACTTCTAGTGGCTTATTATGACTCATAAAGTATGACAAGCTAGCCTAACTTAGAGAGAAGAAAAAGAAAATAGAAAAAAACAAAATGGGGGAAAATCAGAGGCAGAAAAAACACAAAGTGTCTCATTCTGGTCGTCTGTGGCTTAAGCTCTTCAGCTCCAGAGTGAAAATGATCACAAACCTGACGCCACATTTTATCTGATGAAATTTTCATAGTATAGTGTGTTTGTTTTAAAATGACCTCAAATAGTGGTTTTGTTATAATTTCAAATTCTACTTTAATATAATTTTATTTAATAAATTTATTATTTAATGTTTAGGTAGATTTGGAGGCTTTCAATAGTATAGATATTGATGTATTGCTTTGGCTAATTTCATTAAAACTGCAAGTTTTAAGATACGTTTTGAAATTCTGTATATGCCCAGCAGTGTTTTCTCATTCACCCAGAGAGCTATTGTCCTATTCGTAAAACTTGTAGTAGTTAATCTCTCCTTCAGCTGATAGTTGGAGGTCATCCTGAACTGCTTATAAACAATGGCCTACTTCATAATTCTGCCCTAATGTGTCTGGCTTGCTTTTGAAGTCACTTTCTAAATGAAAACCACATATATTTAGTAGTCTTTGGCTATCACACAGTTAGTTCTCATCTAGACAGTAGAGAGATTTTAATGTATCATATTAGCTGTTTTTACATAAATGAACTTTTTTGGGATATCTGTATCTCTCTCTCTCTCTCTCTCTCTCTCTCTCTCCCTTGAGATGTGGTCATCCATTATATATATATATGGCCCACAAAGCCTAAACTATTTACTTTCTGAACTTTTTAAGTTTGTTGACTCAAACTTATATCAGGAGTCAACAAACTTAAAAAGTTCAGAAAGTAAATAGTTTAGGCTTTGTGGGCCATACAGTCTGTGTTAAAGCTAGTCAGCTTTGCTTTTACAGTATAAAAGCAGACAGATAATACAGAAGATAATGGTGGATGTGTTCCAATAAAACTTTATTTAGAAAAACAGGCAGTCGGCTCAGGCCATAGTTTATCAACCCCTGACATAAAGCACCATGCACCTATGTTAAATTAGTTTAGCTTGAAATGCTTTCAGAAGCAAATTCCACAGGCTTCTCTTTTACGCTGTCATCTAATAAGCTATTTTAAGTTTTGTGGGGGTTTTTTGGTTGATTTTTTGAGTCATTGTTGGCCTTTCAACTGGATGATATGGAAATTTACTAATGTTGGGTAATACTGAGGCCCTTTCCTTTGAGTACCAGAAAAATGGGCAAAGCAGGACATGAGTGGAAAGGGGATCCATCTTGCGTGGTGCCTTCAGACGATCTCTTGGTTGCCTTGCAGCGCTCCGCAGTCACTTCCAGAAGCAGCAGCAGCGGCCTCAGCACATTCCAGTGGTGCGGAGTCAGAGAGCACCAGTGACTCAGACAGCTCCTCGGACTCGGAGAGCGAGAGCAGCTCAAGTGACAGCGAGGAGAATGAGCCCCAGGACACTCCGGCTCCCGAGGTACCGTGTCCCCTCCAGGAGACCGTCCCAGACGGCAGCATTGGGGGCTGGAGGCGGCCATAGGCCAGGCCAGGAGACTGAGCGGCTCTGTCCCCTGGGGCAGTGCTTCCCTGCTCCTGCTTGTGTAGAACTGGCTGTTTCTATTTACTTGTTTCTTACCAGACATTTGGCGGTGGAGGTTTGGGAGAGAAGTCTTCTCTCTTCTGTTTAAAGTGATAGGTTCTTCTCTGTTGTTGCTAGTGTGTTTTGAAAAGCAACTCACTAAAGATGTTTGCACACTCTTTTCTTTTCTCTTCTTTTGAAAAGGAAAACTCATTTTTAGTAGGCCCCTGTTTTAATATGAATGAGATTTCTTTTTGAAATTTCAGGAATGCATGAATTAAGGAAATCAAAAGGAGACAGTGTGCTTTAGCAAAGGGCAGGAGCATGAACTAGAAATAAGTCATCAGAGGTTCTATTTTTGAATCACTAAAAGCCATGCATTAAATGGTTGGTGACATGATTTTGCCAAGGCTGTGTTTCTGCGCCCTCTGCCCCATGTAAAACGGGGACAATTGTGTCTACCTGCCGCCACCCCCTGGGAAATATTGTAAAGATAAACAGATGAGGTTGAAAAAAAATCTCAAACACCACATGTATCTAGAGGATATATGCTGCCTCCTGGATTGTCCAGCACAAGAATTTTAGTAACAATTAATGAGGTTGCCAGATGCCCTCAAAACTTGGGAGTGGCAATATAAAAATCATGCTGGAGAAGAACACTTAGAGGGAAGGGAGGAAATTTTGGAAGACCAGCTTGTATAGAGAGAATGATTCTGTATATTTAAGATGGGAACTCTGAGAAATTAGACTTTCTACTTAAGGAAGTGTTGAGGTTCTCAGTATCTGTCTCCCGCTGTTTAGAAAGCAAGACAGTTAGTTCCACTACCGAACTGACCGAATCCGTCTGAAGATCATGGAGCGAGAGCCATGTCTGAGGGCAAGGGAGGCTGAGACAGCTCCCGACTGTCCTCCCTGGTAGATGTGAGTGTGTGTCTGGCACAGAGTGGGTGCTCCGCGAGCGTGTGTGGGAGTGCATAAACCTAGATCCGCATGTACTGCACTTGGAGAGCCTTTGAGGTTTTAGAAACCACTCTCTGTTTCGGGGGGTTGTGTTTCCGTGTGAGATCTAATTACTGTTGAGGTGATGTTCCTGTGCCCAGGGAAAAAGATACTGAATATGCTCTGCAGGCAAACTACGTGGTTGTTCATGTTAATGTTAGAAGATCTTTGCTTTGTGTCTTACCTTGCTCAATAAGAAAAATCTGTGTGCTCGTTACGTTACTGATAGTACAGAATTCATTTAAGTAGTAAAATTTGATTCAAATAAAGTACAAATGGCACAGATTTGACTGAATAGTTGAAATTTTAAAGGAAGACTAATCTAGTATTTGATTTAATGAAACAATTACATTTTGTGCTCAAGTGGTTACTGAAATAGTTGCCTTAGATTGAAAAAAATTAATGTTCCCACCCTAACTTATTATAGTTATTTATTTATTAAAATGTTAGTTCATGTCTCCCTAAATGGTTTGGCTCAGTAGATAGAGTGACGGTCTGCAGACTGAAGGGTCCCAGGTTTGATGCTAGCCAAGGGCACATGCCTGGGTTGCAGGCTCGATCCCCAGTAGGGGCTGTGTAGGAGCCAGCCAATCAATGATTCTCTCTCACCATTGATGTTTCTCTCTCTCTCCCTCTCTCTCTCTGTGAAATCAATAAAAATACATTAAAAACAATATAATAAATAAAATGTTAGTTCATGTCTTTTATTCACCCACATTTAGTTAGATGTCTTATGGTTTGTTGAAGCAGTAGGTCAGACATTTACCACAATGATGTCTGTCAACGTGGCTGGTCACAAAAACTCCAGCACACATTCTTGAAGGGCACTCCCAATGAAGGCGACTGATTTGACCTTTCTCATCCACCATTTAGAACACACACACACACACACACACACACACACACACACACTCACACACACACACACGTATTTTCAGAGAGGAAGGCAGAGGGAGAGGTAGATAAACATCAATGACGAGAGAATTATTGATCGACTGCCTTCTGGATGGAGCCTGCAGCCCAGGCATGCCCTGACCAAGAATGGAACCGTGCCTTCCTGGTTCACAGGTCAACGGACCATCCACCTTTTACAGTACTTCAGGACAGCAGCTTAACCTTCTTTCTCTCATGCTCATTCTTGGGAGTGATGTAAGAATTCTTCCTTTTCTTACCACCACCATGGAAAAGAGTGGACTCCTTTGAATGTTGTAGGCAGACCAAATACGTCCACTTCCCGGTGTTTGCCAGTAAAGACCAATCTCCTGATGAGAAGGAATTCCTTATCCTAGACCTTGGCCTTTACATTTTCTGTTGTATCCTAGGGTTTCACCTTGAGATTGATGGTCTTCTCCATAAGAGTTTTCACGAAAATTTGTATTTTTGCAGCAATTCCACCACAGATGTCATATGGAAAAAAGTCTATTTTTTAAATTACCTTACTAAATAGGTCCATATTTGTAATTTTGTGTTGCTGTGCAAATCTAATCTTGGTATGATTTCTATGTTATATATTAGGGTTCAGCTTCCCCAGAAATAGTTTGTCTTTGCCTTTATTTTAAACCTTTAATTTTCCCCCAGGTACTTAACTACTTTTCTTTCCTTTTAAAATAAATGTTTGCATTATTGTAAATCTCCTGTATTAGTTGAGAGTAACATGAATTCCATACATAACAGACCATAGTTACTAGTTATTACTTTATCTTTCTTAAAATTCTATTTTTAATGCTGAAAATTTTGCTTTTTTATGGCTCCATTTTAAGTTCATTTGATGAAGTAGTTTATAATCTTTTGAGAATCTGAAATGCTGTCTGCCTGCCCAGTGAGCTGGTGGGGGAAGTTGGGGAAAAGCAGTGTTTGCTTTACAGTGGGGATCAAAATACAAAATGTATGGAACACCTCACTTTCTTTCCGGTTCAGTGAAATTCACGGGGAAAGAATTATTCTGTTCTCCATTATTCAGGGATCTTCTTAGTTTTCTAATCTACTCATTGTCCATTTCTTTGGTAGTTAGCTACCTTTGGGTGATTGTCTGTAAGGCTCTTAACCCTCATTCAACCCTAAAAGGTTGGCAGCTTTCTTTTCACTTATAGTGTAGCACTAAAGATTCAAACCAATAACCCTTTAACTCTGAAGCCTTTCTATTTGCTACTACATCATGCTGCTTCTCTCCTTCCTTCTTTGCATTTTGTTGCCTTTTAATTTTTGGGTGCATACTCCCTCACAACTAGGATGATTTACTTAGAACAGTAGGCATCTATTGTGCATAGCTCAGAACATTTTTTTCAAAATCATAATTCACTCTAAAATATGTGAACTTTTGCCAGTTGAAAAGTTAGAAGAGGTAAAACATTTATTAAAATGCTGAAAGAAATTAATCATAATTTTTTCACTTGTAGTATGCAGTGTGTGGGCTGCTCCAACCCTAGGAGGCGGGGCATAGGAGTGGCAGAGGAAAACTGAAAGCTCAAACCTTGATCCTATCCAGTACTTACATTCTTAAAATTCATTTTAAATCTAGTTTTAATAGATCCCTTATGTAAAAATTTCCCCATCCCAATAGCTAAATAATGTCTGATCTGGAAGAAATTCTATCCACTTTGCATCTTTATGTCTTTATAAGTAGGTATACAATAGGATTGTCCCTGTCCTTTCCCCTCCATCTGGGCACAGTGGCTCAATTTTACCTTGCAATTGGGCCATATGCCTTCTGGGCATTTTAGGACTGCAGTAGAAGAAAATGTGTTTTATTTCTGTAACCAGGACATTCCTTTAGGGACTACCTAATGTATCCAATACTGTCCTCTTTGGGGAGAGAAGCAGCAGATGATATCTATACCAGGATTAACTTTTCTTCTTGGTTCCTGCATAAATACTTTTCTACCAAGCATGTCAGTGACTGGAATGCAGTTGTAAACATATCCCTGAAGAGATCTAGCCATACCTTTCCCAAGAAAGGGTTTGGTTCCTGATGTGATTGGCAGGTGACTCATGCCTTGTCCCCAGCTAACCACCGGTATTACCACACCCTCAAGTCTTTGCAGGAAGTAGTGTTTGACAAGCAGATATTGTGTGTTGATCTTTTCTCTGTCTTTAACAGTCATCCTGTCTTGTTAGACTATTGAATACAGTTGTGGATTATATGTGACAAAATTCCTGGCACGTAGAGTAGTTCCTTCTTCCCTCCCTCCCTGCTCTGAAAAATCAAATGTGAGTCTTGGTATAGAGCTGGTGGTATTAGGACCTGTAAAAGAGGAATGTTATCCTAAGCAGCAGCATGGGGTAAGCAGAAAAAAGCAGGTATGCAGCTATCTGCTGAAGTTTGGCCCTATCTAGTTCCTTTCAGGTCTAATCTGTTTCAATCACACTAAGTCCAAACTAACTACCTGATCATTTCACTATCACTAACTTTTTTCTGGTCAAAAAGATTTTACATTATATCCACCCATCTTCCCCGTATTAAGTTCACATGTTTTTATAGAGTTGAATTATTTGGGATATTTCACTTGGGAAAATTGTTAGCAATCTTTCCCGTAAAACATCATCCAACTCTGGATATGGATCTCCTTATCCATAATCAAGTCAGTTAAATCCCATGTGAAATAACTTCCTGGTGCATTCATACAAACCACCTGTCAGATGGATCTTAAGGAAAACATGCAGCATGAAATGATGTCTTTCCCTTTAAGAAAAACATAATCACTGCTCACTCTATTAGATATTACTATTTTTATTCAGCATATTTATGGGCACAGGAATTCACCTTATAGGAATGCTCAAATTAAAATCTCAGTGTACACCACCACGTGTAAGACATAGTGGAACTTGGAGATGCTGAGGACTCTGTCATTTTGTTAATAAGATCTAACACCTCGTTGGAGAGAGAGAAATCAGTTAGCAACAGATTTATGAGATAACAGATGTCAGGGACTTCTGCTTATTTGTCAAATCAGTTCATAGATAATTAGTCAAATCCCATTGCTCTGAATTGTGTGCTGTGGAGCCTCCCTTTGTGTCTTAGAAAAATAGGTGGCATTTCAGCTCACATTGTCTAAAACAAGAAACATAATGCTTGATTTTAAAAGACTTCAAATGGAACTGAGGCTCATCTACTGTGACCTGACTTGACTCTCTCTTTTTTTTTTTTAATGTTGTATTTTATTTATTGACTTGAGAGAGAGAGAGAGAGAGAGATTAATATGAGAAAAAAACACACATCAATTTAGGTTGCCTACTGCAAGTGCCGCAACTGGGCATTGAGCCTGCAACTTGGCTATGTGCTCTGACCAGAAACTGAACCTGTGACCTGTCGGTGCAGGGAACAATGGTCAACCAGCTGAGCCTTAAGGCCAGGGTGACCTCACCTGACTCTTTTTATCAAGGTGGAAAATTTGAAAATCAACATGTATCTGTGATACAGGGAAAACCTTTCACAGATAATTTTTTTAAGTAAATATGAGAAATTATATCTAGTTTTGAAAAAAGCAATTTTTAGTTGAAAAGTACACTGAGTGGCCAGATTATGATCTCTGAATGCATAATAATCTGGTCACTTGGTGTATAAATCTAGATCTAAATCTAGATCTAGATATATAGGTATATAGATATAGATATAGATATAGATATAGATATAGATATAGATATAGATATAGATATTAGAAACCCGTTGCATGAATTCGTGCATGAATGGGGTCTGGCCAGCCTGGCCAGGGGGAGTGGACATGGGCAGTTGTCAGGCTGCCTTCTGGTTGAAACTCCTGGTCTAGGGGACAATTTGCATATTAACCTTTTATTTTATAGGATATACACTGAGTGGCCAGATTATTATGCGTTCAGATATCTGGCCACTCAGTGTATATCAAGAAAAGGATAAAGTATGAAACCCATAGATAATCTCTAAGACTTAGTTTATGAATTAGCCTTTTTTTGAAAATGCTTGAGAAAAGGATTCTTTTTATTCCCTATTATTTTCTGACAGAATAGTTTACAAGCCAAAAATGTGTCAATTCTGTTTAAATTAATACTGTAATTACCATTAGAACAAAATGTTTATGTAGCAGAGATTTCTCAGCAGTTGTCTATAGTCTACATTGGTCAATATTTAATTGTCACTATCTACCTAACTAGAATTCCTGTAGTATTAAACATTTGGAAAATTGTCTTAAAGGTCAATTGTTATAGAATTTGACCTGTAATTTGAGGAGGGTAAAAAGGATCTGCGTTCTTAGGTTTGGGCTGACAGGATGTAGTATTGAGTAACACAGGGAAGAATTAATCATCTTTGGCCAGTGACCACTTTTCTCTTTTCCCTTGTTTTCAGCCCGAGCCTCCGACAACAAACAAATGGCAGCTAGACAACTGGCTGACCAAAGTCAACCAGCCGGCGGCGCCACCAGAGGCCCTGGGGGGTGCGGCGCCCCCACTGCGGCACCCGGACGGGAAGGGCAAGGGCGGTGAGGGTGGCACCACTGGCCACGAGCATTCAGAACCCAAAGGCCCTGCCCCGAAAAGCTCCGGCAGAGCACCCCGGGCCCCTCCTGAAGGCTCCCACGCTGGCAAGAGGAGCTGTCAGAAGTCCCCTGCCCAACAGGAGCCGCCGCAGAGGCAAACGGTTGGAACCAAACAACCCAAAAAACCTGTCAAGGCCTCTGCCCCGGCAGACTCTCGGGCCAGTGTGCAGGTGGAGAGTGAGCCGGGACTTCCCCACAGCGCCAAGGATCAGCCTTCCAGAGACAAGCCCAAGGTGAAGACGAAAGGGAGGCCGCGTGCCGGAGACAGAGAGCCCAAGCCGGCGGGGCCCACGCCCGGCGAGAAGAGGAGGCACAGGGGCGGGCCTCCGGCCCCCGCAAAGGCACTCTCCGGTCCTGAGCCCACGAAGGACAATGTGGAGGACAGGAGCCCCGAGCACTTGGCCCTCGTCCCCCTGACTCACAGCCAGGGCCCCAAGCACGACAGCAGCAGTGGTGGCAGGACTAGTGGCTGTCGCCGGGCCGTGGTGGTGCAGGAGGACCCTGGGAAAGACAAACTTCAGGTGCCTTTGAGAGACACCAAGCTGCTCTCCCCGCTCAGGGACGCTCCTGCCCTGCAAAGCTTGGTGGTGAAGATAACCCTCGACCTCCTCTCTTGGGTCCCCCAGCCACCTGGGAAGGGGAGTCGCCAAAAGAAACCAGAGGACAAGCAGCCACCGGCAGGGAAGAAGCTGGATTCTGAGAAGAGAAGCTCTGACAACTCAAGCAAGTTGGCCAAAAAGAGAAGGGTGAGTGCAGGGGCCAGGCCTTCCCCTGCAGGGTGGCGGTGCCTGCTGTTCTTCGCTTAGGGCTGTCTTTGGCCCATGACTCCTGCCCTGAGCTGTCTAGAAGAGGCGGGAAGTGTTTGTTCAGAATAGATCCAGGCTTTGCTCCTAAGCCAGTTACTCCTCCATTGTAGACCTGGGTACTTGCCATTCTGCAGATTGGCGTTACCAGGCACCAGAGCCCTTCAGCAGTCTCACTGGTTTGCAAAAAGAGGAGGCAGTCATTGGAAATGATATTTTATTTTAGGATAATGCAGCATTTGGGGGTGCTTTTTTATTTATTCTGATAACATTGATAATTACCACTTGGTCCATTCAATTTTGCCCTAGAAATTAAAACCTTACATGAATTGCAGTGTTAATTAGTATTCCAAATTCCTGAAAGCACTGCTACACCCTGAATTTTGCTCCTGTCGTATAACCTTTTTGATACTGGTATTATAGCCACAGTTTAGCTCATGGCCACTTAATACTTCATTAATTTGAACACGCCAGATTTAGACTCTGTGCCCTCCATTATTAACTTATTAATAAGCAGAGCATTATAGTAAAAGGCTTTAGATCTTAGTAAGTGGTTAGGACATCCCATTGAAGAATAATAGGCTGGAATGGTGTCTCGTAAAGTATTAAAAATCTGTCAATTTCGTTTTTTTAATTATAATTTTTGGAAGTTTCACTTAAGGAATGACATAGTTTTTAAAAAAGGAAAAAAAGACTCTGCATTAAGAACCTCAGTTCCATGGACATAACACTATTTTGGACAGTTTCCTTCCATTATTCTTAACCATTGAGCTCCTGATAGTTGTTTTTGCAGCTTCTTGGTGATGAAAGTATGATAAGTGAGTGTTTCTGTCAGTGGCATTTCCCTGCCAACCTGCCTGATACTCAGGGGGGAGGGCACTAGGAGAGCCAGCTCTTCCTGCTGAGGAGTCAAATGGTGCACACTCTGTACACAGAGCTGCCTCCTCTGTTGTGGAAGTTGAGCTAAGAATAACAAAGGACACAGCTATGAGGCAGCCTGCTGTCACGTCTGTGATTCTGCCGATTACTCCACTAGTTAAAAATATAACATGACTCTAACAAGTAGCAGGGGTGGCTGTCTTGTCCAGATCCTTGTCAAATGGTACATGAGGGTATTGCCACCATGATTGGAGTGGGCTGAGGTCACGTGGTAATTGGCAGTGCTGTTTCAGCTAGAAGGGGCCATATTTTCTCTCATGTCCAAAATCCATGAAAATGATGTATGTCAAAGGTGTGGAACCGGATGGAGGAAATTGTGGTGGACTTGGCTAGGAACAGTACCTGTGTTTAATATATCTGAAAAGACTTCTAAATACACTCATTTTCCTCCTCCTCTCCTGGGAAATCTTTTTATCTCCTGTCCCCTGCCAGGGTATTGTCTGGTTTCCAATGTAACTTTCTGCATTAGCTGGAGTGAGAAGCATTGACTTCTAAAATGCTAACTAACAGGTGAACATGTTGGAAGTGGCAGGCTCCCCAGACGTTTTCAGCCCAGTCTGTACATGCAAATCTAGAAGCACTGCTCGCAGCCCCCAAAGGATCTCGGCTCGGCCTGCTGGCTCTGGGAGCCGTGCCTCCCACCGCCGTGCGCAGCCCTTGGCTGAGCCCTGTGAGGCCAGCTCATTTGTCATGCTGTTGGGAGGATGGAGAAATATTGACCCTCATCTTAGTCAAGAATGTGCTTCTTTAAAGCCCAGGCCAGCAGCAAGGAGCTCTGCCTGGGAACTGTCCGCCTCTGCTGTGGCCGTGACAGGACCAGGGCCTGAACCGGTGGTTCTAAACCCTGGCTGCTCATTGCAGTCGCCTGGGGAGCTTGTAGGCCTGGTGGCAGGGTGCCCACCCTCAAACCCCTCACCCCCACGGATATTTTTAAATTCTCAGTTGATCCTAACGCCTACGGGTCCGGGAACCCCTGAAGCAGAGCCTTCCTTCAGAGCCAATATTGTACAAAGCTGGTCCTTTCGATGGAGAAATCCCTCCACGTGCTTTGCTTAGATGTCATGGATCTAGACAACCAGGAATCCTTGCTTTAAGTGTGTCACCAGTTAAAAATATAGAAGCTTTTGGACAAATACATACAAAAATCAGCTCACTGGATACTGATTTCAGGATCAGAGAATCGTGTGCCACTTGGTTTTGCTTCCTGCTGGGTTCCAGGTACGATTAATATTGCGCATTTACCTCAGGTCCTTCTCCTGTGTGGGCCGGGCTCCCCCTGTCCTGTCAGGATCCCGACTCTTCGGTCAGAGCATTGGCTGCCCCCGTGGGCCTGGGCCCTGAGGCAGAGGCAGGACTGTCCTCTCTAAGCTTGGGTGCTTTTTTGCAAATTTGGGTGTTGGAGACTTTTTCGTGTTCTTCATTGTAAGCGCAATCACTAGACAAAGCTCTCTGAGGATATAGTGAGAGCATGGGGCAGTGTGACTGATCGTTCAAGTTTGTGGAATTTAGTGTTTTTATTTAAAGGCCCATTAGGGTCTATTCCTCTCCTGGTGCAAAATTTAGCAGATCTTTTTCAGAGGGTAAGCAGACCCTTGAAGCCATTTTATTTTATTTTATTTTATTTTATTTTATTATTTTATTTTATTTTATTTTATTTTATTTTATTTTATTATTCTATTCTATTTTATTTTATTATTTTATCTATTTCATTTATTTATTTTATTTTATTTTATTATTTCATTTTATTTTATTATTTAAAAAATATATATATTTTACCGGTACTGATTTTTTACAGAGAGGAAGGGAGAAGGATAGAGAGCTAGAAACATCAATGAGAGAGAAGCATCAATCAGCTGCCTCCTACACTTCTTCTCTCCGCGCCCCCCCCAACCCCCCCCTCTGGGGATGTGCCCTCAACGAAAGTACATGTCCTTGACTGGAATTGAACCCTGGACCCCTCAGTCCACAGGCCGATGCTCTATCCACTGAGCCAAACCAGTTTCGGCTTGAAAGCCATTTTAGACTTAAAAGTATGGGAAGTTAATCAGAATTGCTGATGTTTAACAGCTGTGATGAAGCTATTAGGTGTGGCACCTATACACGTGTGCTCATGGTTCTGGATATGTAAATGTTACTCCCTTAAAGAAGCAGGTAGGATACAATTCATGAGGAAAAGTGTGGGAAATTGTGAGGGTTAATAGGCATGAACACACAGTGCTTTCTACATAAACTGCAGAAGTTTATCATCCGCGTGCCGTTTAGAATTTAAAAAAATACAATCTGGTTTTTTTGGTTTAAATAATTTTTAAACCAAAGTTATGTTATTCCAGGTTTGGAAGGAAAATTGAAGTTGAAAAGCACAATATAATACACAATCAGGCCAGTGCCATTGACAGTATCTAAAAATGTATGAGCATGCATGGAGCTCCCTGTGTGAGCTAGAGCTTGTTCTGACACTTTGTAGCTAACTAGAGACCCAGTGCGCAAAATTCATGTGGGGGTTGGGGGGGGGCGGGTGGAAGAGGACAGTGTCCCCTCAGCCCAGCTTGCACCCTCTCCAATCCGGGACAACCCGAGGAATGTCCCACTGCTGATTTAGGCCTGATCCCCCTAAACTGGCAGTCAGACATCCCTCTCACAATCTGGGACCACTGGCTCCTAACTGCTCACTTGCCTGCCTGATTGCCCCTAACTGCTCCCCCTGCTAGCCTGATCACTCCTGCTCTGCCTGCCAGCCTTATCACCCCCTAACTCTCCTCTCCCCCAGCCGCCTGCCTGGTCATCCCCACTTATTTCCCCCCCTGCCGGCCTGGTCATCCCACACAGCCTGCTGTTCAGTCGTTTGGTCATCCCTCACTAAACCCCTGCTGGTCTTGTTGCCACACGCAGCCTGCTATTTGCTGGTTACTGTTACTGTGACAGCGTCCCGGACAATTTGCATATTCCTCTATTATTAGTATAGATAGTTAATTTAATTCAGGGTTTTTTTAATTTATTTAATAAATTGCCTTCCAAAAAATTGCTAGACTGTCTTAGTCATTTCGATAAATAGTAAGGCAGGGAAGTACATTCATCCAGGTCTTTTCCTTTTTCTATATATTTTTTTACTGACCGAGAAGCTTTGACATTTTTTTTGAAACAAATTTCACTCATTTATCCAGGTTTTGAGTTCTGGGGAAGGGAAGTTATGGGAATTGATGAGGAAATGTGCGTTGTTACCGCTTGAGGATGGTTGTTTGTTCAGTCCTTCCCTTCTATCCAAGCTCCAACTGCCCTTTCTTAATTGTTCCTCCAGATCAATATTCTCAGTTATCTTTCAAAATCAAGGGTTTGAAAAGTCATTCCTTATAATTTCCTGAAGCCACTTCAATCTAATATCTTCATGCTTGTGAGTTACTCTGAAAAGAACATTGTAACCACATGCATGTTAAGACTGTTTTAAGCCATTCTAATGCCTGTGCATTCCCTCACCAAAAAGAAGAAAGTGGATTGATTTTCCTTTTCTGTAGCACTTGTCCCAGTGAGTACCATACCTGTCTCCTCAGTAAGCTGACTTGGACATGGCGTTTGCTTGTCATCTTTGTGTTGAACCTCCTGCAGGGACACATCCAGAGGAGTACCTAAATTTCCCAGCAGGCTGCTTTTCCACTTCCTTTGCGCCGAGTGCTTCCAAGGTCATGTGCCTCCTGTAGGAGAAAATGACCATCCTAGAATTTGAGTGCTGGGACCTTACAGGTCGCTTGTCCAGGCGCGCCTTATATGGGTGGGATCCAGAGAGGCTCTGACATCATGTGGCTGTTTGGTAAAAACAGACATGGAGCTCAGGTGTGCAGATTCCTCCCAGCCCAGGGGTTTTTCGTCTCTTTTATAGCGTCATGTGAGGAGGCTCTAGGAGAGAGTCACAAGGTCATAATTCAAGAACAGGGTTCTCTGGTGGTTATAATAATATGCTGGCTCTGTCCCTCTATTGCTCACACCCTTGCTGTCCCAGTACTCCCCCTACCCCACTTCAGTTTCTCTTTCAGATGCCCCTCATCTCTCCCCATCACAGCCACGCTCCCAGAACACTCCTCACGCCTATTAGAAACACTGCTGCCCAAATTAGTGTCAGTTCTGAAAAAGCCCCTTCATTTCCCTGCTCCATGCAGGAACCTCGCCCGTTGGCCGTTGTTGGGCAGCAGCAGGCCGCCCTGCAGCATCCTCTTCCAGAAACCACCGCGGTCTCACGTTCCCAGCTCTTCCTTTTATGAGCTTCTTTCTCTCAGTGATCCATGGCTGCCTGACCCAACAGGTTAAGGAAAGCAAGCAAGTCGGTTTGTCCAGGTCCGCAGCCAGCAGCCTCCTTTTGTTGTAGGTGCGGCACCACCAAGACACTTATCCTTCTGGGAAAGGGACCTTCCAACCCCGACCTCAGGCGGGATCCCTGAAATGGAGGCTGATCTGGGCCCAGCCACAGGGCAGAGGAGACCTCTTCTCCTTTGAGAGAGAGTGCTTCTCCCTCATCTCATTTCCCAGTGGCCCCTTGATCTAGAAAAACCCCAAAGATTCCTCGCCTTCTGTTTTCCACATCTGAAATTCAAGTCTGCGTTTCCTGCCGCCCAGTAGTGCAAGGTTCCCTCCCTCCCTCTGTCCACTGAAAGTGGCCGTGCCGGCCTGCTCCGGGCCCTCAGCTGCGAAACCTGGCTCCCATGCTCCAGGGAAGCCGCTGGGACTGCTCCAGGCACAAGACAGGTTCCAAGTGCACACTGGGCAGAAACACTAGCCTCATCCACGGGCTCTTCTGCGGCGAGCAGGCGAAGCGGGCAGTAGGATTTTTGCTTAGTTTGGTTTAATGGCTAACTCTCTCCCAGCTTACAGAATATTATCAGCTGCTAACTTGCTTTATGCAAATATAAAGCACATTATCCCAAGAAGCGCCAGCATGGTTGTCAGTAGCTAGCCTTGATCCTGAGCTTGACCTTAGTCAAAAGGCCGAGAAACTTAATGCTAGCCTCGAAATCAGTACTGCTGATTGATTGTCTGGGGGACTGTTCTCTTGAATCACTGATTGGCACAAGCCAGGTTTTGAGTTCTGGGGAAGGGAAGTTATGGGAATTGTAACAACCAGTTTGTGAGGATTGATTCACTAGGAATCTGACTTCATGTGTGATTTACAGCCGTCGCCAACCTGAGGTCCGCGGCCCACTGATGGTCCATGAGGTCCAAAAGGGTGGCAACCGTTGGTCTAGAAGGTCTGTCACTTGTGCTTATAGTTACAGATAGCAAGTTCTAAGCAGCAGGTAAACATAATGACAAAAATGAATGCTCATTCCCTGTCTGGGCTCTGATGTCTTCTTTAGGATGCAACTGTGTGGAAGGTTTGCCAGGGAAACTTACCCTGTGTGTCATTAACTGCCTAGAAAAACCAACCTTCCATTGCAAAAAATATACATTACTACCTCACATACAGTGTCTGGGTATTTTAGCAAAATCTGTGATTTTTTTTCCCAGAGATCAGTTTTCCGCCTTGCACTGCTTGTAAGGCCAGCTTTGCAGCCTTTAACCTAAACCTTGAGAGAACCCACAAGGTCTGTGAGTGGCAGAGCCCTGAGCGTGCAGTGGGTTAAGTAATGACAAGGGTGCCGGGTCTCTCTTGACCCGGTCATTGCCAACTTTTTTTTTTTTCTCTGCCAATCTCGGCTGCCTCTCGGGTGTTGGCATTGTGAATTTTGGGTGGAGGCCTGCGTGCTGTGCAGAGCCCAGCAGGCTTCCTTTCTCCTGAGCTCTGCGCCAGGCTGAAGGCACAGGGGCACAGCTGGGTGAGATGTCCTGTCTTGTTCCAGTTGTGCCTTTAGGACGTGCTTTTTTATACCACATCCTATCTCCTTCTTAGGGATACTTTTTCTCGAGTCTTCTTTACTGAACCGTTATATTTCTGAGGAACGGATCTGCTCTCTCACCTGTACATTTAATAATTCCTCCGTCGCATTGGCTACCTGGGCGTTCAGAGCACCGTGTGCAGATTACCTCTAGAGAAGAGTGCCCACTAAGAAGTAAAACTGAAGATTTCCAGCACCCACATTAAAGAAAACCAGTTCAATCGCTTTTAGTAATTTCTTTTATCAAAGATATCCAAATATCACCACTTTAACACTTAGTCAACATGAAAATGGTTACATTTCCCTTTTTACACTAAGTCTTTGAGGTCACTGTGGCTTCAGACTGGCCATGTCAGGCACTGCTGGTGCCAGGCTGTCCGGTGGGAGTGCCGGGCAGGACAGTGCAGGACGGATGAAAAACAAGCGTCTTTAGAAGCCACCTGGAATGAGTCAAGAAGTGTTTCTCCAGAGGCTGAGGAAGGGGAACGGAAGCCCTCTCGGCACATCTGTCTGCGTGAGGCCTCCCAGGAGCAGTGCGTGTGTTTGCTACCTCCCCTTCTTTGGAGCAGGGTCACGCTGCTCTCAGTGTCTGGGCAGAGCTTGGACCTGCGCATCTTAATTTATTCCTTTTTCTTGGAGGAGGTCAGCGAACGGGAGAGAGAGAGTGGTGAAAATGGGGGCTTCCTGCAGTTAGTGAACCTGAAGAATGTTTTTTTTTTTTTTTTTCCTTTAAGGCTTTAAGAGAGGATTTCAGGTTTTTAAAGATTGTCCTAGATTGACTGGTGGTGTCCCAGATTTCTGTCTCGGTGAACTGACAGTTGGAGGAATTTAATGCTAAATGTGCATCACAATTACCTGAAGGGCGCACACCAGTCCCTTGACTGTCACTTCCCAGGGGGCATTGCCTGAGCCCAGACCATGGGCAGGAGGCCACCATGAAGCCACCGGTTGACATGTAGACTTTTTGTAAACTTGGTGAGCGTGTGGACAGGGGAGCACAAGCACACAGAAGACTTTTGCCATGACGAATTCTTTGTTCTCTTAATGTTTCATTATCTCACACTCTAGTTGGTACAGAGGGATGTTTTGAGGTGCTTAACTTGGTGGAAATATATATCCCTTCTCATCACTCTTCCCTCACTAAAATTATATTTACAATTCTTCATTTTCTGTCAAAGTTCTTAAAAAATATATTACTATATGTGTAGAGAAAGACGCAAAAACAGTATTTTTTTTAAAAAGAAGAAAAAACTGGTATCTACCTGACTAGGCAGCTCAGTTGGTTGGAATGTTGTCCTGCATACCAAAGGTGGCAGGTCCGAGTTTCTGGCAAGGCACATACCTAGGCATGGGGCGTATACGGAGGCAGCCTGTGGATACTCCTCTCCCTCTCCCTCTCCGTCTCCTTCTCTCTTCTCCCTTCTCCTATTTTGTTCCCCCTTCTCTCTCCCTGTTCCCTTCTTCCCTCTTTCTTTAAAGATAAATAAAACAATATCCTCCAGTGAGGATGTAAAATTAATAATAATAAATAAAAACAAGGTATCAATGGAAGAGAAAGTTAGCTGAATCCCAAAACAATCATTCTTTCTTGTTATGCCTTTCTGGTTTTGTCTAGAAGCTCTTCTAAACAGGATTTTCGTAGCCTGTTTCATTTTCAACAATATACTGTTGTGTTTTGTTTTGTTTTTTTCATTAGAAGAAAAGCTAAGCTTTAAGTACTCCACTCCTAATTTTATTATGATCAATAAATTAGTGTATGTAGATAAGTGGATGGTTCTTTGAAAGAAGGGGAGGAACCTTACTCATAAAACTATCGGTTGTTAGTTGATGTGAATCTGCATGTTTTATTGATTCTCTTATATTTAGGAGAGTAGCAATGCTGTGTCTACTACAATGAAGTCTACTACTATTCTTATTAGCTATTACTTAGACACCCTCCCCTTCCTGCGTATGAAGAACAGTCCTTTCTCGTGCAAAGCCTGGTCTCTCCACAGGTTACTATATCAACTCTAGATTGCCTTCCTCCCTCACCCAAAATGCACACGGGGTAGGTACTGAGAAGGTTGCTGTGTGTGTATAGACAGATGTCTCCAACAGTCTAATTATTCTCACCGCCTTTGCTGTGTATTTTTTTCCTGTTTTGCCTGTACAGTTATGTTTGTAACAGTTTACTTTGTTATATTACAATCATAGGGTGAAGCAGAGAGAGACCATGATAGCAAGAAAGTCAGACTGGAGAAAGAGGTTAAATCACAGTCATCATCCTCCTCCCACAAAGAAGCTTCTAAGACGAAGTGAGTATAGAGATTAGGAGCAGCCTAGGAAGGCGGGTGAGTCTTCTTGTGTCGGATGTGTGAAGGCTGCACTTGTTCAGCTCCTTCTGAGGATGCGCCGAGTTTGTTTCCATCTGCTTTCATCACATGGACCTTCTAGGAATTAACAGCTCATTGGGCAGCAAGCTTGGGTTTATCCAATGTATTTCAACAGTGGGAAATTCCCTAAAAACCTGGAATTTCTTTCTAAATGAATTTTTACATTAATTAAAAATAAGAAAGGTGCTGTTGTTATCCCTAGTTTGCAGAAGTGGAAACTGAGGCACACAGAGAGAAAATGACTTGTCCAAAGTCACAAAAAGTAACTATTATTCTCTGATTTGTTCAAGGAATTACTTCACAAAATGACTTGGTGCCACAGTGCATAATGTCCCCGGGTAGGAGGGATCTTCGAGAGCAAGGAGTCGGAGTGAAAGCTGAGGCTGGGCTTGCCTGCCTCTCAGAGAGAGGGGCAGGTTGGGAGTAGCTAGTGTAGAATGGCATGCCAGGAGAAGGCAGGACCGCAAGCTAGACGGGTCACATAACTTCATTTATCACTCAGTGATAGGACTGGATTTTTAAAAGTCCCTGAAACGTGACCTTGTACAGCGAAGGATTTCACACTCTGGGATATCTTAGCCTTTTGTCAGCAGCCTTGTGACTTTTTAACTAAACAGCTAAGATACATGGCTCACGTTCTGCCTTAACTTCGTGTTGTGTGCTGTTTCTTTCCAGAACACCCAGGCCCTCGGAGCCCTCGAAGAAGGAAATGCTTCCCCCCACACCTGTGTCATCCTCGTCCTCATCCTCCCAGAAGCCAGCCAAGCCCGCACAAAAGAGGCCACGGCGGGAAGCACATGCCTGTAGCCAGGACTCTCCCCAAAGTGCCAGTGGTGCCAAGGGCGGCCATAAGGACTCCCCCGCCCCCAAGCGCAGGAAAGCCGAGGGGAAGGGCTCCGGAAGCGCCACAGAACACAAGGTACGTGGGGAGCCGCGTTTTATAAGGTGGATATGGTTATGTCCCCACATTGGCTACGTTCCTAATGATGGTACTTCAGAGCTACTCATCACTTTTAATAAGGCTGTAATGAGGTTGTGTTTAAAGTTCTACTCTTTAGAGGGAGAGTGAAAGTATATGAACATTTAGGTGTCAGTTTATTCTTAAAGTGATTCAGAAGTGAAATACCCAAATAGATGTTTCGTGGTCATTTTCTGTCAGGTGTTTCGTAGTAAGAAATGCTTACCCTGGTTTGAATATTTGATCTCAGGTATTTTCATTTATTGTAATGGGGGGGAAATTATCCACTTTCCTCAAGTACAAGTTCCTCTTTCTGTTAACCTGGGTGCATGTTACATTTGGCTTTGCTGGTTATCTCTTCTCATGGACAGTTTTGTCCTATGTCTTTTTTAGTCCCAGTACAGTCAAAACGTTAATGTAGCTGGGAAAGTGCCAAACTAAATTTCACAGTGTTAGACTTCTTTTTGAGGGAACTATTTTGGGCTAATTTAAGGGATGATAAGTCTAGGTCAGTGATCCTGAATGTTAGAGTGTGATCTGTAAAATGACTTTTTTAAAGGGATCCTCTGGAGATACCACAAATCCTTTTCCAGTGCCTTCTTTGCCAAATGGTAACTCGAAACCAGGGAAGCCTCCCGGGAAGCTGGACAAGTAAGATTCTAGATGCTTCCTTCTTATCCTTTATGTGCCCGCTTCTCCTCCCTCTTCCCTTCCTCATTTCCTTTCCTTTTCTTTGCTCCTCCCTCTTCTTTGCCCTCCTCCTCCTCCCATCCTTTTTCACCATCTCAGTCTCCTTCAGTCATCTTGCTCCAGCCTGGTAATTTTAGGTTCATATGACCTACCCTGATCTTTCCTTCTCTTTCAGACAAGCAGATCTCCACATGAAGGAGGCAAAAAAGTTGAAGCAAAAAGCGGAGTTAATGGTCAGTCTTGGTTCTTTATCCACTTGGTAGAATGTCTTCTGATGGAATATTTGTGATCTCATTCTACTGTATTCCACATCACTAAATATAGCAGGGGGGGTGGGTGGGAGAGGGATGCTGTCATTGGCCCAAACAGAAGCAGGATCAGCAGGATCTTAGTGAGGGATAAGGGATTCTTAGTGAAGTTTTTTTCTTTGACTCCATTAATTGATCATGGGCAAATGCACAAAGTACCTAGTTACAAGTCTTACAACTAAATGAATGGTAGTGTTGTATTTAATACCCGAATGCTCCCTTGTCCCGCTCAGTCAATTCTTTGGATATGAAAAATGAGTCCAACTATTGGAAGTCGAACTATTTGTGTTCACCCTGAGATATTCTGAAAGGTGAGGCAGCCTATTTGCATTCCAAAATGATCTTAAAGTCATTCCAAAAGGTCTGACCGGAGGGACCAGGAGACCAGTGCCAGTAGGTGGAGTTTAAGGTGAAGGCAGTGACCGCACGTTGGTAAACATGCTTTAGAAAGTGAGCTCCGCCCGTGGCTGTGGACTTTCTGGAAGGGAGGTTTTGTTTTTAATCACATACACAGTTAAATATGCTTTTGCATCTCTGCTGCAGTCTAATTGAGTAGTACGTGCCCTTTGTCATAGTTAAATGGAACGTAGTCCCCAAGCCTAAGCCCGACACATACCATCTGTTGAACTTTGTACCGCCGGAGCAGAGTGTGGGTTGCCTTTATTCTCCTACATGCAGATCTGACCCCACACTCTGAGGCCCACAGGGCACTGAATCGGGTCTGACCAGGGTGGCCGTCAAGGCTGTGGCCTGCTGCTCGCAGCCTCGGTCTGTGGACTGGCCTCTGTTCTCAGGTTGGGAGGGCTGGGCTCGTCCCCGTTTGTTGGGACAAAATATTGGAGTCCTTACCGTGCTGGGTGCTACAAGAAGGTCAAAGACAAGCCCCTGAGGCCCTGTCTCTAAGGTGGCCCTGTATGGGATGGCCTGAGTGTGAGTCAGAGGACCAGGGCTGGGCCAAGCAGGGTGTCTTTTCCACCTTCTTCCTTTCAGCAATTCCCAGGTTGTTGCTAGGGCTGTACGAATCTTTTGAGTTTTAAAAAAGTAGTAACTAGTCAGTACTTTGTCAGTTACCTAAAACTTGTCTGGACATCGGGCATTTTAAGCACTAGATTTCCTCATTATTCAAACCAGGAAGTAAGGGAACTTTGATTTTGTTTTTCAGTTAGTCTGTACATACACACATCTTCTCCCACAGAAGTTAGCCATATATCCCAGTGTGCCCAGAACATTACCGATCTATGCCTGTTGAGTCCCATTGTAATAATAATGTCTCATTTTAGTCTCAAAGTAGGCCAGTTTGGACACAAAGCTGAATGCACAGCCTTTTTGTAATATTCTCCCTTAATTGCACAGTATCTTAAAGATGTCCCTTTCGCATTCCAAATAGTCAAGTGCACAACTGATAGAAAGGAGTGCATTTCACTTCTACATTATATTCATTGTGATAAAGATATTAGACCTCTACCACTTTAACACTGTATCAGGATGCATGCAGTCTATCACAGGTGGAATAGATGTGCATCGTTAGCCTTATGGAATTATCAGCCCCAAATACCATCTTTATTTGCTGATGTCACTATCTTTTTATATCCCACATTATCAAATTGAAAGCATTAGCAAAAACTATGAATTTGCAAATGTGTTAACCAGTTGCTTGTATAACGTCGTCCATATGCTGTGTGTCAAGAGAGATGTGCTTACCACAGTCTTAGCTGATTTGGCTGTGTTGCACTCAGTAAGAAGTGTTGTGACAAAATGTGTAGTCACCAATATCCGATTTCATTTATATTCCCTTTAAGAGACTCTTGGATCAACAATAAAGATTTTTTTTAGATAAAAAAGTAAAGTCAGTTTTGTCCAATTTAAAAAGGAGTGAGAAAGGGAGACTGGGTTTTTATCCCTGTTGACCCAGAGGATAGCCGCATGCACTTAGCCCCGACTTGCAAAGGAGAGTCAGCCACCTGTTGGGCTTTAAGATACATGAAACGATTATTGTTTGACATTACATCTAAGATGCTCCTAAAACATAACGTTTTCTACTTATTGTAAGGTAAAACTTCAACACATACAAAGAAATTGTGTCTGCATTATCCTAGAAGTGTAGAAAATTTTCTTCCTCAGGAAAATTATGTAATGAGTAATTAGGGACACGATTAATAACAAAGGGACTATAGATTCATTGCCTTAGTTTGAATATGCGCTTTAAGGTTGTGAGAGCATCATCCTAACACAAAATTATTTTCTTTTTCTTTTTCCTACTGAATTTTGTTTTCCTACTAAAAGAACATTTTTAGTAGGTCAGACCCGACAGGCTTTTAGCCCTGTTTAGAAGTGTGGTTTGCTCTCACACTTTTCTGTAGCCATAACTAGACTCTGGCCGTGGAGGGATATTACAGTGAAGAAAGTGGGTGAGAAGCCAAATAAAAGGCTGTCTTTGGCCTAACAATGACCTGTTCTTCTACAGACGGACAAAGTTGGGAAGGCTTTTAAGTATTTGGAAGCCGTCTTGTCCTTCATTGAGTGTGGGATTGCCATGGAGTCTGAAAGCCCAGTGTCCAAGTCCACTTCCAAGTCGGCCTTCTCGGTGTACTCTGAAACCGAAGACCTCATTAAGTAAGTGCCCAGTCATGTTGCCATCCTCTTAAGTACTTCTCTTTCCTCACCTTTATTGCCATAATCCACTTGAACCTAGTTTAAAGACAGCTTAATAAAGGTGCCTTAAAAAAGTTACTGATCCGCAAACGTTTTTCTTGTCCTGAACTAAAATTATAGTCTAGATGAATGCTAGAACCAGAGCCAGCTCCATCATTTGCCAAGTGCCCCGTGAAATGCCAAACCTTTCAGGGAGAGGTTGGTTTTTCCAGTTTGGCTTTCTTATCAGACGCCCTCTCGTCTCAGTTTAAGCTCCTGTCTTTATTATCTGCATTTCAACAAGGGACTCAGTCAGGACACATGTCTACTTGGAGTCAAGCAGGTGGACGGCTGGAGAAGAGATGTGTCCTCACCTAGTTTTCTGAGTGGCCTGGATTGTTGCTCTAAAGCCTCATTTTTTTCTGCATTGCTCTCGGCTTGACAGCTTCAGGAAAAATCAACATAAAACCGAGACAGACATAATGAGATGTCTTTGTGTCAGGGATTTTCCAATTGTTTAACCTGATCTATTTTTATACTTCCCTATAGATCCATCATGTCATTAAAATCCTTCTCAGACCCCACAGCACCAACACAAGAGAAAATATTTGCTGTTTTATGGTGAGTACTTTTTCTGTGTTACATAGTATCACACTTCCTTTTTTTTTTTTTTTTTTTTTTTTTTTTTTTTTGCTTTTCTATCTTTTATTGGTACAAAAAAAGATTTTGAAATTTTTGCTTAGCATGAAAATTACAGTGAAAGGAGATCAATAAAATACTAAGGTCAAGGGGTTAACCCCACTGATAAGTTTCATGAAATGGTACCTACTGCCATACTGATAACTCAGTAATGCTTTGAGCTGGTGGCTCAAATAACACCCTTGTATGTTTGTGTGTTTCTGCTGACTGAAGAGTGTAGTAAGATGTTTACAATACCCTTCCCCATGTAGCTGAAGCCCAGAGTCGTCTTTAGGTTGTAAAGGGTACGATGGCTGTCTGACGTCCACCTGTTTATGTTCACAGCATGCGTTGTCAGTCCATTTTGAACATGGCAATGTTTCGTTGTAAAAAGGAGAGAGCAATAAAGTATTCTCGTGCTCTTAATGATCACTTCCAGAGTTCTCCCAAAGTTACCCAGGCACCTTCTCCATGCATTGCAAGGTAATGAAACATCTAAGTTATCGGTAATGTCTTATTATTTGCCTCTTGCTTTTGCAACCATTTGTGTGTACATCTGACTTTGCCTTTTTGAAAGTTGTATGCATCTATATGTTGGTTTTCTCCTTAACTAGATCATTTGCTTATTTCTACTTTTTGAGGAATAATTTAAATCAAGATGTTTGCTGATTGGGTAACATAAAAAGATAATTGTAGAAACTATAGGGTCAAAATTGAGAGGATCTTTGGGCATGTCTAACCCCACAAAAAAGGGAGGGTGGGTATGTAGGCATGCCTAACACCAAAACACACCTAGAGGCAAAGCCAGGAGAACCAGCCAACATCCCTTGTCCCTCTGGACATGTCACCTTGGAATTTCAGTGAACAAGAACTTTCCAGAAATATATGCCCTCAGCCTTTCCCAGAACCCATAGCAGTGATATTAAGGACGAACATGATTGTCTCTAGTTAAAATTTCCCCCCACTTTTTGAACTGAAGCTGTTCACCTGTGCCATAAGATACTGAAAACCAATCCTTGTGCAACTGAAGATAGAATTTTCTTCTCTGTAGCACTTGCCTAGTACAGGCAGTCCTCGGGTTACATCGGACTTGACTTACGTCATTTCATGGTTATGTCACCATATATATAATAGTATTTATATATATGTATGTTCCCTCATTTCTAGGTATGTACATATGTGCTTTGTGTTTTTTATTATTTATTTGTCACAAGTAAAGGTCCGGAATTGTTATCTTTCTTTTAAATATTTTTTACTGTTTCACTTCATTGCTGCTGTGTATGTGCTCATGTGAGTGACGTAGGTGCTTATGGAGGTGGTTTCCGACTGACGGCCAAAATGGCATTACGTCACACAGTAGGAACAGATCTCCCACGTAACCTGAGGACTGCCTGTGTTTTTAATTCGGTTATACTCCTTGAAGTTTCCCAGTTCTGAGAGGCTTTGCTATTTTAAGACTGTCACCTAGAAGACTGTCCCATTTCCTGCACATTCAAAGGAAGAGATTCCCACGTGGCCTCTCTCTTAAAAAAAAAAAAAAAAAAAAAAAAAAAAAAAATCCTGCTTGAGAAGTTACTTCCTGCCTCTGAGATTTTCATGACTCCCACTTCTCAGGTGGCATTCTAAACTCATACATGGCCAGTCTTATTATCTGAGGTAACTCTTTTCCTATTTGTCCAGCCAGTGAGCACCTTCTTTGTGCCAGGCCTTGCTTTAGGTACAGGGGACACAGCAGTAAACAGAGCAGATGAGACTCATTGCCCTCACGGTCCTCCCACTCCCGTCCTATGAATACCACTCAGCGGGTGCATTAGGGCTCCAGCAGCTCAGGGGGCAGGAGGGGCACAGCATGAGGTCACTGCTGCTGACATCTTCCTGGCTTATATCTGTGAGGTCGAAGTGACTACACTTGTGTTTCTCATTGACCCACTCAAAGCACTTGTTAACTTGCATGTGCAGTGATACAGTCGAGAGGGAAGAGTAGAGAGAACATCATGAATCCCCTGGCACATGACACTCCCTGGTCTCCTCATAGTGGTACTACAGCCATTCATTGATTCAGCAGATATTTCTCAAGGGCCTGCTCTTAACACCTACTCTGCTAAGTACTACAAATGCAAAGATTAGTAAGACATGGTCCCTGCCTTTCAAAGTGCCTTGACCCAGGAAAAGGAATAAACAGAAAAGTGTGGAATGTGAGAAATGCAATAGATAAGTTAATAAATGAATGCAAAGAATCAAGGTCAGTGGCAGACAGCAATCGTGGTGTACCCACCAATCTGGAAGAACACCAGGCACAGCAGGTGCTCCGTCCATGGTCCCTGAGCCAGTGAAAGAGACTGTGTAAGAGACAAAGAGATAAAGACCAGGTTCACGGGCAGCGTTGTCTTCCCAGGTGGGGTGGGGAGGAAAGGACTCAGGCCTGGGGAATGGACGCTGTGCACGGCATGGGGAAGCAGGTTCAGAATACAGACCTGCCCTCCTCTCTCTGCGTCTCGTGAGGACACCTGGCCTCCATCCGTTTGGTGGGTCCCATCTCCCTGTGTTTTACAAATTCCCAAACTCCTACTAAAGGTGAAGGATGTCTCTGTGACCTTAAAGAAATGACTGTCATTTTTGGCTGGGACACACTGAAACTTTGTGTCTTGGCCTACGGTTCCAGAGGCAAGAAATCTGTCACTTGCGGGTTTAGTGATTCACCAGTTCTCTGATCTTCCACCTTCCAGAAGCACAGGCGCACCGTCCCCTCGCTCTCCGATGCCTTCTGTCGGCTCCGTGGGCTCCCAGGCTGGCGCTGGCAGTGTGGGGGGCAGCGGCATCCCCGCCAGCATCCAGAACATGACGTCTTCCTACATCACCATCACTTCGCACATCTTTGCCGCCGTCGACCTGTGGGAACAGGCCGAGGTCCTCACGAGGAAGAATAAAGGTAAGCGGCTCTGGGTGGTAATTTCTGGGGCATGGTGGGAATCGTGTTGTGTATAGGTTGGGTTCATTTTTTTTTGTACCTGTTCACTCTGCTCACATTCTCTCCATTCCACTTCATAGCCTAGGCCCAGTTCTTCTCTGAGCCCCAAAGCATGGAGCTAAATTAGTGTCGCCAGATCTTAGCAAAATTGAATTGGAAGTGGCGTCAGCACCTTGCCCTTCGGAAGTCCTGGCGCTGCCATTTCAGCCTGGATGAGATGGCAGCACAAGGGCCAGGGAAGTGGAGAAGGAGGGGCATGACTGTCCCTGGGCACAGCCATTGCGAGGTGTGAGGGAGCACAGCCTAGGTACCGGGCTTAACGTTTGTTCTCAGAGTGTGACGAGAGATGGATAGCGACAGCACAGGCAATGTGGCATAAGTAAGCCTCTTGAAACTTGTGTGAGACGAAGGCTTTGGGGAAACCTGAGGTGTGGGAGTCGGTGGGGCACGCTGTAGAGGAACTGCGCGGGCCACGCCACTGTCCACTCTAATGCTTAGATGGAAATGCCCGGTCTGTGCCGTTCCATAGTTTTTCCTGGCTGTGGCCACTGAATTCCCTCACAGCCTCTTAGAACTTAATTTCTTAGCAAACTAAAGATACTTTTTAAAAATATATATATTTTATTGGGTTTTGTTGTTGTTTTTTTTTACAGAGAGGGAGGGAGAAGGATAGAGAGTTAGAAACATTGATGAGAGAGAACCATCGGTCAGCTGTCTCCTGCACACCCCTACTGGGTATGTGCCCGCAACCAAGGTACATGCCCTTAACTGGAATTGAACCTGGGACCCTTGAGTCCCCAGACCAACGCTCTATCCACTGAGCCAAAACAGAGCTAAAGATGCTTTTTAAACACGTTGTTGTGTTTTTTTTTTATGCTTCTATTGATCGAAAATATTAATTGGGTGTTCTCCAGTGCTGGGCATTATGGATCTAACCCTAAAACAGAACCCAGGGCCTACCCTTCCAGGCTAGTGGGGCAATGTGGAGAATGAGCGGCCATTATACTCGATGGTGATGTTTTACTGTGAGAGATGAAGTACATGCTATTTTGGGGATCATTTCTGGAACCAACCCAAACAGTTGACTCTTTGTTGCCGTCTTTATTCTCGTGCATGCGAGTGTGTTTACGTGGTTGTGGTTTTGTTTCCTTCGCAGAGTTTTTTGCTCAGCTCAGCACAAGCGTGTGCACCTTGGCCCTCAACAGCAGCTTGGCGGACCTGGTGCACTACACGAGGCAGGGTTTCCAGTGGCTGAAACAAGGAAGCAGAGCGCCCTAACGGAGGCCCGGGTTGATCTGATGCCTTGGGAACTATTTTGCACATGGGAAGCCTCAAAAACAGTCCAGACATTTGTCTCAGGACAACAGAACTTGAGAAGAGAAGCGCCTGAGAAGGCCAGGTCATTTGTCCTCTTAAACTCTCAAGAATTGTGCGGTCATTGGCCGGGCACGATGGTTCTGCAGAAGGAGGAGCGAGGAGGCTGGCTTCAGAGATGATCTCCGCCTTTCCTAACTGAAGGACAGAGTGCAATGTAGCCTAAAAGGGGTATATGCGTGGTCTAGAAACATTTCCGTATTTTCTTAACCAGCAGGATGCGAGTTGCAAATGAAACGAGGAGAAGCAAATTCACGTCATCTCAGCAGCCACACTAGTCCATTCCCAGAAGGAAATGTTTTTAACAGTGAATTTTGGTGTAGGGTTTTGTGGATGATTTTTCTTTTCGGTTTTTTTTTGGGGGGGAAATAATTTGTTTTGTAAATTCTAACAGTCATCTATAAAACCGAAATTGTGAAGGACTCGATATACCCCACTTTCTGCCCGTGCACAGTTGCTGTGATAATACCAAGTATTGTCATAATCTAAAGGATTGGAGCTCCCTCTTCCCCCCATCGCCTGAAGTACTGCACGCTCACCAGCTCGGTGCCTTCCTGGCCGGGTTGGCGTTGACCGCTGGGCTCCGTGGGAGGAGGAGGACACAGCACGGGCAGCAGGCGGACGGCCGTCCTTCCCACCCCGCATCACCCTCAGGCAGGCGGCTGCGACCACGTTTGGGATTTCCTACGATGGGGAAGAGGTTACCGACACTTCCATAGGACCAGCTGGCTGAAGGGCTTTCTAATTTTTGTTTCGGTAGAGCTGGAATTGGAGGTGCTGGTCTGTGGTCTACAGCCATGTGGTAACTCATGCTGTCTAGCCAACTCTGTTTTGTCAGTGAACAGAGACAAATGAAATCTACTAAAGAGGCTATATTTTTCTGCTGCGAATTATTTTATATTTATAGCAAAACTAGACTTTCAGAGCCCTTAGCTGTCCAGGGGAAATGTACTCCCTGAAAGGATGTGGAGATGGGGGGGGGTTAATGAGACCTAAGAAAAGCGTCCCCGGCCTTCCCTCCGGGTTCTCCCCTCCGGGTTCTCGTGGGCCGGGCGTGCCAGGCTGAGGAGGAGCGGCGCCTCCCCACCTCTCGGACCGCACCGGTGCATGAGTGACCTGTAATGAGAGAACACGTCCGAGTTCCCACTTACCCGTAAGCACAGATTTTCTTTACTGTAGACGCTTGGAAGGCTATTATTGGAAGCATTATTTGGAGTGCAGTGTTTTTTTAAAAGCCTATTCTTGTTATCCCTTCTAGAGGTGGAATCTACACACATTAAAACTGAGGAGTGCTCCTTCTACCGTTGGCTTTTCTCCCAGCTGGCCCCTCTACATGTTGTTTCCTACCGGGCATGTTTGACATTTTCCTATTTATTCATGAGTGACGAAGGGAGTGGATGCCCCCTTTATTTATACTGAGGAGTAAGGTCCGCAGGATGTCTGTAGGAGCTTGCGTGGTGACCTGGCCCACGCAGAAAGGGGTGTGCGGACGATGGGGGACGCCTGACTTGCGGTGTGAAGCGTGTGCCTGTTCCTCACTGTCTACCCAGCCCGTTCTTCTGTCACCACGAACCTGCCTCGTGTTTAGGTTAAAGCCCGAGGGTTAGCAGCAGCAGTAATGTCTGAGCATGGGAACTTCATGTGTGGCCTGGATGTTCTGAAGTAAATAAAGCCTTGGCCCCTTTTAAATGGCTCATTTGAAAAGCACCCTGTTGTTAAGGGAGCAGTAATTGCCTGGTAGGGTGTGTGCTGTGACACTGTGTGTCCTTCTCTTCCATGCGGGAGGCAAGGTCCCAGAATGAGGCATATGTCATTATTTCACATCATCTTTTCTCCCCGTGGCCAGTCCTGCCCCTCCCCGAACCGCTCCCCGGCCATTTGGAGGGGCAGGTGCTGTCTGTGCAGACGGCTGGGTGTGTGTGTCTGTCAGCTCCCTGGACTGGGGAGTTTCCCAGGTGATCTGTCAGCCCGTGCTTGCTGTGTCGTGGCCTTATTCTTTGCGGGGGTTTTCCCCTGACCTTGGTTTTCAAATTGTTTGTCCCTTGAAAAACAAATGACTTTGAAGAGATCAGTTTGGACTGTTTAGATCAGCGGTTGCCAACCGGTGGTCCTCGGACCCCCGTGAGGTCTGAGGGGATGGCACCCGCTGGTTTGGATCGTGGGCTGAGTAGGTAGAGGGTGGACCCTTCATGCTCCTCAGTCCTTCGGCTGTTACGGATGTAGAGAGAAGTCAGGAGGCTTTGTAAAACATTTGCACTTTCTGCTACACGCTTACATTCCAAAAGGCAAAGTTTGTACTGCGGTAGACAGTTGAAAGGACTGGGTCTGAAATGAAGCCTTTGCATCTGTGAAGTTCTCATAACAGTCACAGTGCGCGCTTCACAGCGAGGCAAACAGAACGCCCCCAGCGAAGGTTGAGTGAAGTCTTGCCTCTGGCACTACAGCTTCCTGACTTCATTAGGAAGCGGAAGAACTTGACCTTGTAAAAATGATGACTGTTTCTGCCCTGTCTGGAGAGGATGGCTGACCTTGAGGTTTCAGCCAGGCTCAGGGCCCTGCTAAATAACGGAAAACCCTTCACTGAGCTCCATCAGGTGGCCCTGGGTTCAGAATGTGGAAGTGTGGGCACCAGCCGTGGTGAAGAGTCGGGGTCCAGCAGGCATAATACCAGGCCTGGAACTGCAGCGGGAGAAGGACTTACTGATAATCTGATTGAATCACAATTGAATGGGAAAGAAAGCATCTTGATTTCTTTGAACAAGAGAACCTTTATTTTATAGATGTTTTGACCAAAATGTTTAGCTCTTTCCCTTAGACAAATTGGATCACACTTACCTCCCTTGTTCTATATCCTTTAATTCCAGATCTCAGGATATTTAAAAGCTAAACACCACCCCCTTCTGACAGAAAACTTGCCTTAATCGGTACCTTAAATATTAATGTTAGTCAGATCAAGAGCCTACTATTTTATTATGATTCTTGTTCATTAATTTTTAGCTGTAAAAAAACTCTTAAGCTCTGATAGATGAAAGGAGATGTGTGTGTGTGTGTGTGTGTGTGTGTGTGTGTGTGTATGTGTGTGTATGTTTATACACACAAAGAATAAGAAGCTGGTTGAATTGGATATATTTATTGTGCCTTTGTTGACCACACCTAATTTTGGAATAATGCTGTATTTGGTTTGCCATGGCTTTCGAGATGTTACATGGGTCTTGGCTCTTCTGCTTCATGAAGTTGGAGGTGTATTGGTTCATCTTAAGGTAAATGAATCAAATTAGGCTTGATTCCCTGCCACCCACCACAGAGCCTGCCTTTTTCTTAAGGATTTAATTCCCCAGACACTACACAAAATCTTTAAAAACTTTGCCCCTTCATCCATTACACTCTTTACCACTGATTAGCAGTATTTTGGTCTTGCAAGAATATTCGGGCTTCTTTTAGAAACACAGACATCAAGACCTGCTCCTGGGAAGTGAGTCGCGCATGTGGCTGTGGAGCGTGTCCGTGATGGTTGTGCTTGCTCCTTTCCCGTCTCCAGTGGGCTGCCTCTTTGTTTTTTGGTCCTATCTAGAATCTACCGATGCAGGGTTTTTCCTGTGCCTTTTTTTTTACTCTGTCATTTGTGGGAGGTGGAGTGGCAGGAGAGCAGGTGTTAGGGACTTTCCTCCAAACATTGCGAGTGGTATTCCTACCGTATAAATCTCAAATGTGCAATCTAGGCGTGTGGGTTTCTCAGTGACAGAATGAATTGTGACCACTGGCCCTGTTCCTTAGTTTTCACTGATGATGAGTTGACAAACACCACTTACCACCTTTCTTAAGGTGGCTGTGCGTTTCCTGTTGTTCAGTTCCGCTGGGCGCCAGGTATGGGTGGGTACTGCGATGGCTAGAGAAGTGCCTCTATTTCTGTGCCCAAGAGGGCGGGCAGGAGGGAGACATACAGCCCTCTGTGAGCCTGGGGGTGCTCTGTGGGCCTGGAGGGACAAGGGAGAAAGACCACTGACAGCGAGGCTGGCCAGGCCGCAGTCAGGCCGGGAGGGGCTGGCCTAAGGGAGACATTTGCTTTGCTCAAATGTAGCTGTTTAAGCGATGCTTAACACGGGCAGTATTAACTTCGCCTTTTGTTCAGGCCGTCCACATGTATTGTTAACATTACTGCACACCCCCCTCGGATAACAAGTATACACTGTTCATGTCGATGTGTGTATGTGTGTGTGTTTATATGCGTGTGTCCCAAATCTTGTTTTAATTTTTTTTTTTTTCCTGAATGTGATTACGTTTTGGATGATACCTGTGCAGGGTTGCCTTTTTTTTATTTATTACCATTATATATTATATTATATTATATTTTTTGCTTTCTTATAACTTTAGAGTAAAGTCAAATCTTGGTATTATTAAAATTGTTTTAAAAATAAATAAATTGTCCAGTTGATAAATGAAGGTCACTGGCCTATCTCTAAAATAATTTGTGTGTTTTTCTTTAATTATTGTGGAATAATGTGCCAGCTATGCAGTCCACTCGGTGACTTGTATGTAGGATGGGGAAGCAGCGATGCTCTCAATGGGAAGATGTGCAACCACAGATAAAGGGACTCCGTGTATTTTATCTCCTTCAGCAATGAAACTGCAACCTGGGGCTTTTGTGAATAAAATTTAGCTGCCTTGTATAGTCCTTTGAAAGAGACACACGATCTGTGCGGATTAAAGTTTGCTTTCTTTTTTAGAAGAAAAAATTGCAAAAGATCTTTCCAAAGAGAATGTGCCACAGATCTTTTGTTTGTTCTCTAATGAGGATTAATTGCTGTTAAAAAAAAAAAAAAGTGTAATTGATTTGTTCACCTTCAAATCCCTTTTCACAGAGGATCGAGCTGTAAAAAAAAAAAAAAAAAAAATTAATAAAAATT